AGTTTTGTTCATGAAGAAAGACATGAACTGAGTTTTATCTAAACTAGTAATGCTACCTTATCTATTATTTATTGATTGAAGTACTGATATGCAAAAATAAAAAATGTACATTACATGATTTTGTTTCATTACTTCCCTAAGTTTTACCAATTAATATGAATTCTTTGTGAATTGTGCATTTGATCAGCAAAAGAAAGACTAAAATGGCAGACATTGTAACTATATTTTCCTTAAAGAAAAATCAAGCTGTCTTTGTTCTAACTGAAAATGGTAATTTTTAATTCTTAACGCTATTGGGTAGTTGTGACTGCTGGAGACTCACGGACTGTTACATCTTTCTCTTAAGACGCCTTCTGAACCAAGATGTTTTATGTAGCACTGATTATTTTGTTGGTTAGCAGGATAACTCTAAAGCCAACTTAGATGCCATCAGATTTTGGCGATGATCCGGACCATGATCCGGATCGTGTGTTGGATAACTCAAGATATTAATATATATATATATATATATATATATATATATTATATATATATATATATTTTTTTTTTTTTTTTTTTTTTTTTTTTTGGGGGGGGGGTGAAATGTCATCGTATGTGTGTTTTAGCTCACCTTAGATCCCATTAAGTTTTAGTGGTGATCCAGATACAGGATTTTTTAAAGGATTCGATAGCAATGCAACATAGGTAAACCAGTGTACTTGTAATTCTTCGAGTGTGAATAAATTCATTGCATTAGTGACTCACTGAATACTTTCAGTATGACTTTTAAACCACGCATCCTAAAACGCTTCCAGTTGTGATGGCAGTTCTCCAAAGGAAATTATGATAAAAAAAAAAAAATAAAGATGGTCAACTGATGACTTAGTTATAGGAAGCTCCATTGATCACCCAGCGACGTGGACTCCATCCCCCACACCCCTCAGCTCCACGGCGACCATATAGTAAAACCGACATCATCAGGGCCTTGAAAACATGTAGCTTGGGCCTTCTACACAGGTACCAGCATCTCTAAATATTCTTGTTGTGAGAGTTCATGACACCTGCTGCCAGGCCAATCCGTCTACTGACTTCCTGGTCTGACAGCCCAGAGTTATGAACTACACTACCGAAGTATGTAAAGCTCTTTCTGACCAATGTCCTCATTGCAAGGGTGTACTGACCAAACAGGTTCTCCTGGCAAGTCGGCAAAATCTTAAATCTTGGTCCAAGAGGCCTCTAGATCCAGAGACTTCGCTCCCAGATCCACCACTAGGGTTTCCAAGGACTCAAGATAGAATAGCAAAATCATTAGCAAAGTCAAGACCAGTAACCCTGATATTGCCTAGAGTTGCTCCACAATGAGTTTGGACAGTAATTCTGACCAGTATCCAGTCCATTCAAGTGTTGAAAAATGTTGGTGCAAGGACACCGCCTTGCCACTCTCCTAACAGAAAAGAAGCTCGACAGGCCCTCACCACACTTTACCACACACACCACACTTTCAGTACCTGTATGCAGTCTTCCCATTAGTCCAATATCCGTGTTGGATGCCTCTCAATCTCAGGATCTCCCAGAGTGATTCCCAATACACTGTATCAAATGCCTTCTTAAGATCATTGTAAGCTGCAAGTAGCCCACGCCTGAGCTCACAACGGCACTCCAAAATGACTTCAAGCACCAGGCTATGATCTATTTTGGACTTACCAGGAGTGAATCCTTGTTGCTCCGGCCTCTGGTGCCTCAGCAGGTGGTCTGTGATATGTCTCAGAAGGATGAGCAAGAACCTTGCCTGGTATACTGAGCAGTGTGATGCCTCGATGATTGCTGCAGTCCCATCGATCCCCTTTCCTCTTCCAGTGAGGAATGACCACACCCCTCAACAGGTCAAGGAAAATGGTACCAGACTTCCAGACGGCAGTCAGGACAGCATGCAAACCCTGAGCCATAGGTTCACCACCAGCCTTTAACAGTTCAGCTGGGATGCTGCGGATATCTGTTTTGCTACTTTCTGCCATCCCCCCCCCCCCCTGAGTTCGGTTAGGGAGGGTAGATCCTCACTGATGGGTTGATCTGTCAGTGGAATCTCGACACTACCCACATCTACCCATTAACTTTTGGTGGATCAACCTAGTACAACTGCTCAAACTACTCAGCCCTATGCTCCCAACAGGATCTGAGACGATCTGGCCACCTACCAACCAGACTGCAGTCACCTATGAAGAGAGCTTGAAGTTCAGATTTCTCAGAGCTTCGTAGGCAAAACGAAGGTCCAGATAAAACACCCTAAGGAGATCATCAGACCGACAGGGAATTTTGAAGTGGACTCGGTGGGGACCCACAAGTAATCTGTAGTCAGTACTCAGCACTCCTATACAGCCTGCAGTTCTGGAAGATCCTCCAACGAGTCAACGTTGGTGTGGTCGATCTCCTTGGCTGCATTATTCCCGAACCATGGGGACTGACAGAAATCTCATAGCCAGCTCAATTGCAGCCACATACCGCATTGAAGTCACCGACACAGAAGCAAGTTTGGCCTAATACAACTCATTCACATTGAGTTTACAAACATCGTTAGGAGCATAAACAGCAATATAAGAGACGAAGCCATCTGGAAACTTCAGTCTCAATAGTATTATAAGGTCATCGACTGGATTAACCTCTACTTGCGAGAGCTGAAGTCTGCTAGAGATGGCTATAGCTACTCCCTGGAGATAGTGACCATTGCTGCAGCTCGACCAGTAATAGGTGTAGTCACCCACACTAATCGTGCCACTGCCAGGTCTTCTCACCTCCAAGAGAGCAGCCACCTCAACTCTCAGCTATCTCATTTCAATCACTGATGATGCCCCACAAAGTGAGAGGTGGCTGGACGCCAGGTTGGCGGCTACCGGGTTGCGGATGGGTCAGGTAATCCTGGCTCCCATTCTGAGTCCTGGTAGCAAGTAACCCAGAGGAACCCAGAGCCTGGCTTGCTGGGTGGGAGGGATGTCCCCCCCCCCCCAGCATCAACACCTATGCTAGACACTGCCTGTTACGGTAGTTGTAGCGATCTACTACGCTATGCATCCACAGATCACTCCAGGAGGTAATGCAATCACATTGAAATATTCTTTCTCACCTCCAACATCTCCCACGGGCAACCGAAATAAAAAACGATGCACTCAAGGTGGCAACACTTGTACCTGGTGCGACCCGCGATGAGACGTTAAATGCCCTGCAATTTCCAAGGTGGTTTGTGGGGTTGCTTGTAACATCACCCCTTTGCCCAATGGCATGAACTCTATCGCGTGGCTCCTTCTCCGAGAGTAGAAACCAACCACAGGCCTACAGGAAAGGGTGTTTATCTCGCGGAGTGAGGAGGATGCCCCGCACTCGCCACTCTTGCCATTCTGTTGCCAATATTTATTATATATATATATTTTTTTATATATAAAATAAATTATTTTCTTATGTTTTTATTGTATTATAATATGTACACCCCCGAAGATGATACTCTTTCATTTTATTTTACATTTTAAGATTTATATATATATATATATATATATATATATATATATATATATATATATATATACCTTCTTTTAAAGAGCAGAGGTCAATTTGATTTTTACATACGTATTAAATCTTAATTATTCTAATTATTTTACATTTTCGTAACTTTTATTCAAGTGTTTTATAGAAAGTATTGAAGTAAGTCAAACAATGGTTTTTTTATACAATTATATTAATTTAGCTTTATTACCATTTGAATTTATTTTACTATTTATTTAGATTTATATTTTCACACTAGTTTTAATATTCGTTTCATCAATTTTTATTAAAAAAGAACCAACTTCTTGTACTATTCCCGCCCACAATTAACAAGGGAACTGCAGACACAAAGTCAAGGGGATTTTTGCCGGTGGTCTGCTATTAGGAAGACGGTCTGTGGAACCCCGGAATGGGCTTCCACCTGTCTGAAGAGAGCTAAGTGGTCGTGGGGATACTTAAACATAAGGTGGTAAGAGAAATTGGCCAAACTATTTATCCGATTAAGTGATCTCGTGACAAGTGCATTTTTTTTTAATAATCATCTTTGGGCTTTTTATTGTCGTGTGCTTTACTGTGTTCGTGTTTTATGTTCATATTTTAATGTATTAAGTGTTTTCTGTTTTATCGTTTGTTTTATTGTTCTAGTTTGCTTTACCGATTTATTGTAATGTTTTAAGTTCATTTTGCTTTATCATTCATTTATTCTCTGTTTTTACCTCATTTTATGATTTGTTTCAATATCTTCGTTTCGTTTTGTTTGTGTGTTTTGTTTTGCTACTTCGTTTTATTGTGTTTTATCAGTTTGATACCGAAATAAATAAATATTTATTTCGTTTTATCAACGCCCGAACTTGATCGTTGAAAAGGATACTTGGAAGGGTGGTAACAGCTCATTTCCCTCTAGTGATATGCCTAATTTCTTTGTGTTCGTTATATCAACGTGGTGATCTCCTTAATTGCGTTGGAGGACTCTCCCCGCACACGCCTCTCCTCGGCTCATATCACGTGTACCAACCTTTGTGATCTCGCACCATACATGTACACCACACACACATACTATATTTACACTCTTTCGCTCCTTTCCCCACATCCGTCTTCCACACTATCATTCTTCTCACATATAAACTACGTTCCCATACGTCGTGAACTAAATGGGTGGTGGCAGTGGCTCCTCTTTCACATTATTGCGAGACATAATTGTATAGGTATTTGCTACAACTACCTACACCATATGTATAATTTGGCGGCGAGCGGCGGGACGAATCCAAGCAGATAATCACCTTGATTGGTAACGAGACCATGCATTACTTAACCAGGTAAACGAGTGAAACCACAGGTAAAACAAGTGCTTAAAAAAAAGCTTGTGCATACGCTAATTAGTGCTAAAACAATCACTCAAGGTGAGAGCGTACTCGATGATATTCGTTTGCTAGCACATGCTACTGAGATTTCTTTTGTGTTTGTGCTTTTCTATGTTTCGTATCTTGGAA